TAATCTATATTTGATTGGGTAATACAAACATCATAGTTATGTTTACAAGGACCGGTCCAGGGACTGGTCCTTTAATAGTCTCACAGTCCTTATTAGTCCCAGTCCAGGACCAGTCCAGACTGGTCTTTTTCAGGACTGATGAAACCCTATGTAATTCATTGAATCAATATCCCTTTTGACATTAATTTCATACAATAGAACATTTAATTTCATACAAAATGACATTCAAATTCATACAAAGTGATATGAGTACTGCCAAGGAAAAAAGGCTTAACAAATTTTAATATAAACTTTAATCAAAAATATCACGATAACTATTGTATCAAATTTGATAAAGTTTTTATTTTATTTGAATTTTACAAATCTGTAGAATTCAAATAAAAAAAAAATTTATTGAATTTGATACAATAGATATCGAGATATCTTTGATTAAAGTTTATATTAAAAATTCGGTAAGCCCTTTTCCCTTGGCAGCACTCATACAAAGTGACATTCAAATCTGTACAAAATGTAATTAAAATTTGAATTATGATATCTCGTGATGTAGTAATCCAATATAAATTATTTTGGTACCATTCGGATCCTCTCGATGAGGCGATTTTGAATGATACCAAAATCATCTAGATTGGATTAGGGGCTGACAAGTATTAGCTTATTATACCCCTCTGGGATTTTAATTTGATACCCCAGGGTCAGGTATTTGATATATATATGAATTATCGCAAATATTATTTATATATGTCAAATACCTGATCCTGGGGTATCAAATTAAAATCCCAGAGAGGGTATAATGAGCTAATACTTACATCATGAGATATTGCGATTTAATCTAACTTATTTTAATTGTCATTTTGTACAGATTTAAATGTCGAAATTGAATGTCACTTGGTATGAAATTGAATGTTATTTTGTACGAAATTAAATGTTACCGTAAAGTATGGAAAATAAGCACACCTACTTTTTTCAATTTCAGATTAGCGGAAATAGCAATAAAACTTTTAATCAAGTTATTCCCGTTGATCTGAAATTGAAAAGGCAGGGTAGAGGGTGCTGTGCTTATTTTCCATACTTTACGGTATTTTGTACGAATTTGATGTCAAAAGGGATATTTGCGAATACCTTGTGATTCAGTTATTCAAATTGGATGATTTTAGTACCATTTGATTCGTCTCATCGAGACGAATCGAGTGGTATCAAAACTATCCAATTTTGATCACTGAATCACGATATAATTGAGTTTTTTGTAAAAAAAAATTACGACCGATTACGGCATTGCGCTTACACCACTAGGCTTGGTATTCCAGTATAGTAGGATTCACTTCGTTCTTTCAACTCCAGTTAATTATTATTAAACTTATCCAATAAAATTATTGGACAATGGATTGATAAATTAAACATAGGTATGTTAAATGGATTGGAACTATGTCAAAATGTCCAATTAAAATTATTTGGACATTGTCCAATGCCAACCCTGAATTAAATAAAACCCTGGGGGTAATGTGTGAAGAAAGGGATACTATACAAGGGGGGTACATTGAAGATAATATTAATGATCGTATAGCAGGAACGTTGATTCGGCCACTTGATTAATAACGGGATACTTTTCAAAAATATTAGAATTTACAATTGAATAGTACCTCCAATACTATTTAAAGGGGACATTTCTTTTTTCAAGGGGGTACTATCGATATAGTAAATTCGTATGCAAGTTTATTTTTCGTGTTACTCGAAAATAAATTAATATAAACAATCTTAGCGTTATCGTTAGTTACAAAACTTATAAACTAAAAAAAAAAATGCAAAAGACATTTTTAATTGTTTTAATCTTGGACATAATATTTGTGTCCTTCCTTTACATTACGTTATATTCAACATTTAAAGCTCTACGTAAACCATCCGTTTGGAAATTAACGATTATTCATACAAATGATGTACATTCTCGATATGATCAGATTAATGAAGCAGCTACGGACTGTACTCCAGAACAGTTTGAAAAGAAACAATGTTATGGTGGAACTGCTCGACATAAAACAGTGATTGATAGATTGAGAAGGGAGAATAAGAATTCCTTACTTTTAGATGGTGGTGATCAGTTTCAAGGTATCTGTTATATATTTGCGTTTAAACTATTCGTCAAATATACAGTTTATAACCAATTTATTATCGTTAATTTTGTAGGATCTTTATTTTTTACTTATTATAATGTAAGCTAAGTTTAAATATGGTGTTAGAAGCCTATAATAGACAATAAAAACAGTATAACTTTAAAACACATCAACTTTTTATAGAAGCAATATTTAAAAGCTATTTGGTAATTTTGTAGCGTTTATTATAAAGAACAAAGTAATCGATCAGACTTTTTAAAATTTTACTTTTTTAAAAAGTTATGGCTCTTTAAAGTTCGTTTAAAATTGAAACATATAGTAATTATATATAAAAAAATAATAATCTTTAAAACGCATCAACATTTTATACAGTAAAGTTTTTCAAAAAATATTATATAACTAATATTACTCTACAAAATTACCGGTCAGTTTTTTGAAAACCTTTGTATAAAAAGTTGTAATGATTTAAAAAATCGAAACATGTCGAGTATAGGCTTCTAGCATCATTCTTTTATTACAACTATGTAAAAAAAGAAGTCATTAATTTTTAGGCTGTGTTTATCATCGTTATGTTCAGGGATCGATAAATTCAAAAGTTTTGGTATGTACGATTTATTTGTTTCTTTTTTTTTTTTTTTTGTGCGCTCCATTTTTCATTCTCAATCTGCTTTTCTTTTTTTTCACTGTAGAATTTACTTGAATACAATATCACGGTAAGTTTTACTTAGTGTCAACTTGACTTTTTATTTATCTATATTAATTTGTGTGCCTACTATAATCGTAGGCAATAGGAAATCATGAATTTGATAAGGGACCAGAAACACTCATCGCCCATCACTCACGATTGAATATGCCAATTGTATGTGCGAACATCAATACTACATTAAACCCTTTACTTGGTGTTAATATTAGACCATATCATATCTTTGAAGAATATAATCTAGGTGTCATTGGTTACATAACCGATGTATGTCACATAATTTACTTCATTCTACACAGTCAATTTCTTTACTTATATTATTTACACTTGATATATTCAGACAACTGGTGGAATTTCTAATGCGGGTCCTACTCTAGAATTTTATGATCCAATACCAATAGTTCAAAAATATGTGAATGAAATTCGAGCCATGGGAATTAAACGTATTTTAACAGTTTCTCATAATGGATATGAACCTGATAAAGAATTAGCCGCAAAAACTTATGGTGTTGCTGTGCATATTGGAGGTCATAGTCATACTCTTCTCTCTAATGATACTACCTCCAAAGATTATCATTTAGCATTGGGTCCTTATCCTACTACTGTCAAGAATGCTATAGGCGAAGATACTTTGATTGTGCAGGTATTATACTTTTATAAATTTTTTTTTTCAGTACAATAGATTCAATTAACATTATGGTATACGTAATTGTGAAGGCATATTGGTCTGGCAAATATATAGGACATTTGGATGTATCATTTGATAAAGAAGGAAAAGTAGTCGAATATTCAGGCGCCCCTATTCTAGTAAATCAATCAATTCCTCAAGATCCTGAAATAGCTGAATTAGTAAAGCAATGGAGAGAACCGTTTGATAAGTATACAAAAACTGTGATTGGAAATGCTATTGCACCATTCTATCAAAGTTCATGTCAAAAAACTGAATGTACAATGGGTAACTTGGTATTAGATTCTTTCTTATGGTCTCAACGAAAAATTAGCAAAGTTAATGCTGCAATCATGAATGCCGGTGGAATTCGATCAGGATTGATGAAAGGAAATATCACTCGCGAAAATATTCTAACTATTCTACCATTTAGTAATTCTATGGTAATTTTAGATATGAGTGGTCAAAATATTACAGATTTATTGGAAAGTGCAACGGGAAGGTGGAAAAATATTATCTCTGGAAAAAAAGTTACTAGTTTTATCCAATTATCTGGTATCAGATTTAAGTATGATAGTAGTAAACCAATATTTAAGCGAGTATTGGAAGTGAGCATACAGAATCATGATACTGAAGTGTTTGAGTCGTTAGATCTTAAAAAAATTTATAAAATTGTTACAGTCGATTTTGTTGCCAATACCGGTGATGGGTAATGTCTAATTTTTTTCAAGGCTTTTGTATTACTGTACTGTATTAGTATTTGAATAATTTTTTTCTTACCTTATCATTATTTAATTATATATAGATTACTTCCATATCCGATTCAAGATTTAATTCCTTTAGATAGTCCGGACATAGTTCTAACAAATTATATTCAAGATAAAAAAACTGTTGAGCCATATTTAGACGGTCGTATTCATGATGTTAATCCTAAACCTAACATTTACAGTACCGTATCACCTCATGAACCTATCCATTTTGGTTATTTTGATAATGACCAAATTTTAAGTGAGAGTGTGGAAGGTAACATAAAACCTGATAGACAAGTTGTATTTAAAATTGCGGGTTTATAAGGTTTGTTAACAAAAATTTACTTATCCTTATTGATGTATTGAGTAATTAATGTATGTAAATAATTAAATTTAGTAGAACCTAATGTTTTTCGATCACGAACATGTATTTAATGGTTTTATGTCGCGTGATAACTAGTGTACAATCCCAAAATAATTAGATGTTTATTTTTTTATTTTTTTTTCTGAAACTACATTTAACTTGAAATTTTATCAACACATTTGGCAAACCATTTATTTTTTCATTAAAAATACATAATTATAAGTGATTGTAAATTTAAATTATATGATTAATAAAATTCGAACAAATTTATCAAAAAAAAAAGTTCTAAATAACTAAAAATACACGTCTCTTACACAGAGATTTTTCCTTAAATTTCTTGAAAACAAATAATTAATCATTAAAGCCTTTTTAAATTCAAACATTTAGCAAATTTCATCTCAAAAATAATACAAAATTAAACTTTTTCATTATTGGTTGTTTCTTGTTTGATTTCAATTTCTTCTTGTTTGATTTCAATTTCTTCTTGTTCAACTTTTCTCTTCCCACTAATATCAAAAAAGACACCTTCAATAACTCTATAGATACTATGTCTGGCCTCAAACACCTATTATGAAAGAATAAAATTAATCACATTTTTTTTTTCAACGGTGCAATACATCTTTAAAAAAAAATTATTATTATTAAACAACTTACTGGGAAAATAGCAACAGCTATAGCTCCACAAAGCGCCCAAATCATACTTAAAGCCACCCAAAAAGTGAAGAAGGGTTTAGAGAAAACATATCTTGAAAGGTACATAGGTATTGGCCAAATAATAGCTAATATGAGGGTTAAAGCAATACTACTCCAAAGAGCAAATTTGAATGCTTTTTTTAATTTGTGGGGATCTGTTTCAGAATCATCAACATGTCTAAAGTTTTCATCAACTTCATCATCAGTTAAAATTTGTAATTTGGTACGAGTAATATCGAAATCGAAATCATCAGGGAAAGCAAATGACCAAATTAAAGTTATAAACAATGGAACTAAGATAGATACTCTGAATTTAACATAAAAAAAGTCGAGTTATTTAAAAAATTTCACGCACAAATAGTATATACGTATATAGATATAAAAAAAAGAAAATACATACAAATTTCCAGCCAACATAGGATAATTTTGACCAGTAGATATAAGAGTAATTTCATTATAAAGTTGTTGGGCAGTAACTAACCAAGCTATAAGACCACATATGAGACCGAAAATTGCAGAAAAGATAGCAGCCATAGCAGGTTGTTTTTTCCATGTTATTGTGAATGCCACAGGAAAGACGGCAGGTGAAGATATAATACCCATAAGCAAATACATATATCCTAAATCTACACCAATGTAATTAAGAATGACAGCCAGCCCACCCATTAATATACCAAATCCTATAACGGAATAATGAGAATGATTAATTACTTGACTTCCTAATGCCTAATTTAAAAAAAGAATAATAAGTATTGTTATGTATAAAAAAAAAAAAGGAAAATAAAGGAACACAGGTTACCTCAGAGCGAATATAAGTACGATATATGTCATAAGTATAAATAGAAGATACGGCAATAAGTTCGGCTGAAGAAGCAGAACTATTCACGTAAACAATAATAAATATTATTAACATAACAGATAAGGAATTCAATAAAAATGAGTTAAGAGATACTTACGTGACAGCCATGAATACAAGTACTAAAGCGGCAAAACCACCAGCTTTACCAATAAGTTGACTAGCAGCCAAAGGAAGTACCAATCCAGCAGAGACATCACTGGGGTGCAATGTATTTGGGTCTAAAACAGCGATACCAGCAAGTCCCATTGTTGTGGCTAACGTAAATGGAATTGCAAACCATGCTAAACCACCAATTAAATAAGCATGAACAGTTGAACTTGGTCTTGCAGCAATAGCTCTTTGCCAATAAGCATTATCAACAAATACAGTTCCAAAATTTCCAACAATGTTGATTATACCAAAAACTAAACCTTGTAATGAAGACATTGTTAAATAAGATCCTTCAGCATTATCTGGAACACCACCATTTCTTTTAGCAGCAGCATCGAGAAGATCGTACATTTTATCAGGAGAACCAATTTGAGAGGAAGTACAATATACGGTGAATACGAAGGAAAGAAGGACGATAAAAATTACAGTGGTATGAACATAATCTGTTAAGAAAGTCGCTTTGATACCACCAAATAAGGTGTAAATAAGCACACCAAGTGGAAGTAAGAAACAAGAAGCAAAAGTATGGACGCCAGTAAGAGCATGAACCACAGCGGAACCACCAAGTAACAACATGGCAGTTACGACCACTATTCAAAAAATTGATATAAAAATTAATATTTTTTTAAAAAAGAGAATATTAGATCGCAGGTACAGCATAACGACATACTGTTTGTAGCCAACGCAAAGCACAAGAATACGATATGAGCAGGTTTTCCATAACGAGCATTAATAATTTCAAGGAAAGTATGAGCATGTGGAGCTTTTCGTTTAAGTTCAATAGCCAGAATAGCAAAAAGTAAGACCTTTGCAATAATAGAATAAAGATAAAAGAAAGGTTAGAATCACATGATCAGAGTTGACAATAATAGAAATAATATAAATCACAAAATTACTTGAATGGTGGCACCGGAGGCATACCAGAAAGGTCTGAATATAATTTTTTTTTAAAAAAATTCAATCAGAAAAACAAGTATAAATTAAATATGAGAGAAAGAAAGAAAGATTAATACCCAGAAACACCATATTTATACGCGACAGTAGAAGATTGCAATAAAGTAGCCGCCCAAGTCCAAGCAGAAACAATAGCCGAAGCAACCAATCCAGTTCTCACACTACGATGAGCAGTCATAAACATTTCACTTGTTTGAAATTCTCTTAGATAACGCTTTTGTGCAAATGTCAATAATGTCATTACGATGGCGAAGAAACCACCAAAACCGAGAACTAAAAAAGAAACATGTTTAGAAAATGAATTGACGATTATAGCTCGCTTATTACAAAACCGTTCAGGTTGAAACTTGTAATGAACCATCGTTGTTTACAAGTTAAAATAATTAGAATTAACAAGAAAAGATATTTACTGATTCCCCAACCAACACCTTGGTCAAGTATAGGTTCAACCATTTTTTTGAGATTACTTGTATGATTTGATTAATAAATAGTAAGTAATTAATGATTAATGATATTAAAACTTAATGTTGGTGTCTTAACGTATATAGTACATAAATTTTTGACTAATTTTTTTTCATAAATATACAATTATTAATAAAAAGTATCGAAAAAGAGATTTCAAAAAAAAAAAAATTCGTTATCAAGTCTCAGATTTCAGAGCTAAAGAAATCTGATGAGACTTTTTTTTTTGGTAAACGGAAAGACTATTTATACTAACGTCTATTTTTGAAAAGAGATAACAAAAGTTGTGAGAGAAAAACATGCAAACATTGTGTAAACATCGGAAAAAGATCGGTATTTTTAAAATAGTATAGTTTTTTATATAATAATAAAAAGTTTAGAAAATCAATTTATATAATTTATTAATATAATAATGAAAATTAGTATCGAAAATTTAATCGGTTAATATGAAACTTAAAATTATAATATATAATCTGTAGTGCAGATTGATGTGGTGCAGATTGATAAAAAAAAACCCGAATATCATAATTAAAAATCCACAGGAACAAAAGGGTATAGTTACAAACCTGTATAATGAAGATTCTTAATTTATATATATATACAGTACATGGATTTCTTTACCCGATATATTGTTATAATATATTTATTATATTATATTATTATATTATTATATGATATTTCAGATATAGTTATTTAAACAAATAACAGAATTATTAATATAATATGTTTATCCAAATAAAAAAACATCCTTGACTTTATGACACCAGAAAATTTTTAGATACCATTGTAATAATCAGGTGACATATAACCAACCATTCTTTTGATATTCTTGCAGAAATGTTTTTGTATGACAAATGAAACAGATTACATATGTACGTACGTGCGTATATAACGATAATGTACTTACATACATGCACAGTCTTATCTATACATTACAATTAGAGTTCTCATCTGACCTTAAAGTTGTGATAGGAAAATATCGAAACCGCACGTTGGACACTATAAAATAGTCCGTCGAATTTATTACTACGTAGGAAAACAATGGCCAGATATCCTATACGTATATATTAGGTATATATATCGATATGCATATACTCTTAATGCTTATTATTTATGCGTAATAAATGAATTTTAAATTCTAGCTTATTTAATTTATTACTTGAGATTTTCGTTTTTAAACATTTTTGAAAATTCAACACCGACAAATAATTTCCTTATCTGTTATCAACACAAATGCACATATGACGGAACGTGTCGGAACGTAAAGTATTGGAAGATATGAACATACTTTTTTTGTTTGTGCTTAAAGAATATCTTAAAAACTTTGGTATCCAATAATCAATAATAGAAAATGTAAATTATATTTAAATCTGGTAAAGACGTTACCATTAAATCTTAGGTAAGTTGTGTAATGATACGAATGTAACCTGTTATGAATAATAAGATGTGAAGTTTATCACAATAATATCTAAATATATACTATCTAAATGCGTACATAATATATATACGTACGATTAGCAAAATGGATTACCACGAAAATCTTATCGCTTATCGTCTGTCGATAAGAATTTGGTTTCGGAATTTCTTATAATGTCTTTTCCGTGAATAAAATACAAATTAGTAAATATTTTTCATTATCATGTTTATGTTTGTGAAACGTAAAATCTTTTGTCACACATATCATATATCTTACATAATTTATTCAAAATTAATAATTACCAAATAAGTTTGTAAATCACGTGAGATGTTAATCTGAATTTTGAAGAACGAAAGCGACTTAGTGTATTCTCGAATTCTTGATATGGCAAACGTCATTCTCATCTTTGACATATCACAATTAAAGTTCAAATAATAATAAAAAAACAATTCGATCCTTAATTCCCACGTTACTTTACCGTGAAAGTTTGGATATTTAAAAAAGTCCAATATATTACACGTGATAGTGTTGGAGCGAATCCAATTTCGAACAATATCCCTTTTTGCCGAAAAAAACAAAGCAATGTAATGTTATTTGAAAGTAACGCAAATTAAATAAAAACCAGTTTCCCCTAAACAAGTCTCGATTTATTGTTTTATTTAAATGTATAAATTAAAATAGACTATTACTATACTGTATAATTAATAATTATGGACTTTATATGCTATGCATATATATATATATTTATAAATCTTTATGTTGTGCATTGTTTTCTATTAATATTCATTAATATTAATTAATATTAATTAACAATAATAACCGTTAAAGATCTTAATACTGTAAAGTTATTCGAAATTTAATATAATTTGCAATCACTATCGCATATCACGTGATTTAATTAAATCAACTTCCGAAAAAATTACCCATTCTAATATATATTAATTAGCTTTCATTATCTAAATATTGATTAAGTAGCTTCACTAGTTAAAATCTGTATTATTCTTTGATATAGAGAAAAAAACGGTAGTTACCGAAGATTTATTTAAAAAAATCAATTTGTCGACTAAATCTGAAATTAGTTCTAAGTTCGCTTTTAAAGAAACTAATATTTGTACTATGATTTATCAATCTATTGATAAAATAATATCGCAAAACAAATCTACTTAAATGAATTACGATGTAAGATAAAGAATTACTGAATAAGCATTATTACCCACTAAAGCTCCAGTTTTAAAAGTTTTTAAAGATAAGCATTCACTATATGTAACCACATGCATACTCGATCACACATTATTATTTTTATCAATGCTGCTATATGATTAATTATAACAAAAATCAATGTAGTAATAATTAAATTCAACCCGAAACATTATCGCTTTTGTATTATAAAAAAGGAATAAAAAAATGACCGAACGAAAGAACGATAAACCATATCAGATATCCATTTGATTGATCTCTATCTCTAAATTGATGGAAATTTGATGGATTATAATTTTATTAAAAATATTTTTATAAAATAAAATTAATTTAATCTGTTTGTTTCGTGCTTTGATACTTTCATGTAACTGTTAGATAAATCATATATTACTGTAATAAAAGTTACTTTATCAATGAGATTTCTTTAATCCGGTATAGGAATTTTTAGATTATCGCTATCATTTACAAGTTTTGAACTAAACCAATTTAGTATGTAAGAGGAAGTGAATTATTATTATAGGAAAAATAACTTATTATTGCAGTTTTTATAGACATATAGTAAATCTGTTACATTCTGAACAATCAATACGGACACCTCCGAATACTAAATTAGCTACGTAGAAATATCTTTATCCGATTTTATCCGTCAAAAATCTATCATCCGTGATATCCGAATATGGTATATCTGTATATTGTTTTTTTTTGGTTTATTTATTTTTTGTTTGTTTTACCTATGGATTTACCTATTGAATATATATAGTAATATTAAATTTTGTATCGCTACATAAATTTAGAAAAAGATGCGATAAAAAATTTAATTCACCTTGAAATAAGCCACATAGGTCTGGAAGTACGTATGACGTGGATCATATACATGGGTGTACATGGCTGTCTGGCATGTATACGCGATTATTTTGACGTGAACGCATTGTTGCTATTATAGGAGTTATACATATTGGATACGTATGTGCAGATACTTTGATCACTTAAATTTGTTAAAATATTTGTAAAGAAAAAAGGAATCTTGCCTTTTCTGAGTTTCGTTTCTCACTTTTAAGTTTTTATTGCAGATTTTCCTTTTATTGTGTTTGTCAAGCTCTGCTTTGTGTTCGAAATTTATGATTTTTATTTGTTTGTATTATTTTTGAGTTATTGCAGAACCTGCTTATTTTATCACGTGTTTTATTAACTGGATTTTGTATTATAAAGTTTATTCCCGATTTTATTCCCCATAAGTTTATATTACCATTAAGATTTATTCAGATTGGGACGACCTATTTTAAAAACCGGTTTGGCAACTTTTTTGTAATGAAGTTACGACCTTATTACGTCAATATGTCTGCACCTTTAATTCAGATTTGTATATGTGTATATAAAATATCCATTTAGATGGTACACGTGACGGCTTATTGATAGCCAACATTTAGAAAAGTCAAATGAATGTCTTCTTTATTAAAACTGGTGTATTCGGAAATTTTAATGAATTTAAGGTTGATATTTCTTTTTTTTTTTATTTTTTACAGTGTTTTACGTATAAGTGAATATAGATTTTATTTCAAATAATAAAAGATATTAATATTGTATGAAGAGATTACAATTCGTGTAATAAGTTTCCAATTCATTTTATGTATAGTATGTATTAACGAAAATGCAACGTTTAGAAGAATCAAAAAATCAAAATAAATCAGTCAATTTAACCATGAGTTAACCTATTACTGTATATGTATTACTGTACTTTTAGAAAATAAAAAAACTGGCTTCAAATTTCAAATTTATATAGCATTCTTTTCTTTAATAAATTTTGCAGATAAAGTATGCACTTATGGCTTTGAAAGTACTAAATGAAATTTCTTGAAATTGATTATTATAAAAATACAATCATGAATGTTAAAAAAACAACAACAAAATACTAATCCTATTTGTTTAAAAAACTATTCACATCTCTTACTATCTTAAGCTTATAAATCTGTAAAAATTATTTTAAAATTCGAATGAAATTAACAATTATTACCTAATTAAATTCGATCAAATTTTTCTTGTTTTAACCTTATATCTTTTAAATTTAGAATACTTTTTTTTTTGTCGAATTTGTTAGGCAGTTATAATATTAACTTCGCTTAAAGTTTTACAAATTTTAACTTTTCTAGTAAGCGATTTAATTTTTTATTTATTATAGTTTTAAGTACGTACTTAACTGTTTAAAAAAAGAAAAAACCCCCAATTCAATATAGTTTTTAAATGCATGCCTTCTCCAAGTGCATATATATGCCTGGTATTCAAAAACGTACGCTTAGAGAGTTATCGCTGTAATTCCGATATAGTATCAAGATTTCAATGGCGAATCACGATATCCTAGCTGACCAATCAGATTCATCTTAAACTGGACGGACACATACGTGCGATAAATGAAACAACCCTTAAGCTCAATCTGATTGAAGGAATTGATAGAGGCAATAACTTGTCATTCTGACATGCATTATCTTCGAAGAGAATAGTTGTCCTATGTTCAAGACCTGGCGTGATCACAAGCTCTGACCTGATAGGACGTGCCATCAGAAATTAAATTGGACAGACATTATCGTTATAATAGCTAAAACTACCTTTTCAAATTCCCGACGTTTACTGCGCCAATTCCTATAGTTTAGAGTGTCATTTTTGATACATTAATATAATAAAAATCAAGAACGTTACTTTATGAATCCTGCATTATAATAAATTGTTAGTATATCAAAATGAGTGCATTCTTTTATTTATATACTTTGCATCTTATATAATTACTCTGGTATGAGCTATAATTTGGAATAGTGACTCTTACGTGTTGTAGTTTAAAGGGTTTACACGCAGAGTATATGCACTGAATATTCTTTTAGGACACATGATACAACATTGTAACACCGTTAGTCAGTGGCTACTTAAAAAGGTATCCTACATACGTACAGTACGTACATGATCATCCACCGCCGTTCGTTATTTAGATTAAATCAAGATGCAAACGGAATATGAAATCATAGGAAAAAATGACGAATTTGGAGATGATACTTGCATAGAAGATTCATCACATTTCGATCAAGCAACTGAGTTTTTAACTCAATTAACAAAATTATTGAAAGATAAAGTATCAGCATTAGTAAATGATGCAAATCAAATCAAAACGAATAACGAAGATGATACTGAACAAGAGAAAATTTTAACAAATTTGATTGAATTGGTATTTTTTTTTTTGAAAATAATCCAAATAATCTTTGTAATTTATTTGAAAGTAAAAAAAACATTTATATAAAAAATTTTTATTTTTTAATAAAGATAAATCCATATCAAGAGCAACCATTTCTTTTAGACCCACATTTAGAGAATATTGTCAAACCTATGATTGAAATACTTCGAACTTATATAAATACTACTAATATACAAGGATCTAAGTTTTCAAAGGATGATCAAAGTAAACCTGATTTTATTCAGGTACCTAGAAAAATAAAAAGACTTTTTGTATTATTATATTACTTGATGAAAATTCGTGGATATAAAACTATTGGTAAAATACATGTAAAAATTTAATAAATTATTTTTTCTTCATTACTATAAAAATTTTTCTTTGTTAACACTTAATTCTGATACATATACACATATATATATATGTCTTCTTTTTTTTTTTCGGCTAAAAAAATAACCTTTAGTAAAATTCTTCACACATGAAGTATCAGATCTGGAACCAACTTTTTATTTCATGGCTGCCCAAGATCCTAAAGATTATTCTGGTTGGGAAACAAGATATGTGTTGTTAATATGGTTATCATTAATTTGTATGATTCCATTCGATCTAAAGACTGTTGACAGTCTAGCTGTTGCTGAAGAAAATAAGGTAACTCTATTTGTTCTTAATATATATATATATAGTTTTTTTGGAAAATAATATAACCTATCATTATTTCATAGTTTCCTCTTGTGAACCATATGATTGAGTTGGCAAAGTTTTATTTAAAGGCCACTGGTAAAGAGAAAGATGGTGCGGCAGTGTTCTTGTCCCGTTTATTAACAAGGTTAAAATAACTGTAATGATATTATTATGGAACGATGGAACGTGTCATTTTCATTATACTAAACTTTATTTCATAATCTTAGACGAGATATCGCTGAATTATATCTTGCAGATTATATTAAATGGGCACAAGATGAACTTAGGAATGATAAAGATGTATTTGCGGTAATAATTATTACTTGAATAATCTATAATTAATATAGTTTACATGAAAAATATATATTCATAATTTTGACTTATTGATTAGATCATTGGTGTTCTCACATCTCTTTGTGCCATTTATAAACTTGGTCAAAGGCAAACATTATTACCAACATTAGAATCTGTATGGTCTTGCCTTAATTTACTTGAAGGAAATAAATTATTTGCAAATAATACACTTTATAGAAAAATGTTTGTTAAATTGGCTCAAAGAATTGGTTTATGTTATCTAAAACCGAAAGTGGCTTCTTGGAGATATCAAAGGGGTATATTTAAATATTTTAAATTATTTTTCTATAAATTTTCTATGCCCATAAATATATATACATATATTAAATGTGTTATAGGTAGCAGATCACTTAAGGATAATTTAGATGCACTATCAAAAGCAACAACTATTGATCCTTCAAACGTGCACAAATCTTTGGAAGATGAAAAAGGTGAAGATGATGAAGTACCTCAACAGCTCGAAGAGATCATAGAAATTTTATTGAATGGTTTGCGTAGTAAGGTGATTTTTTCAAAAGTTGAATATCAATATTTATAAAAAAAATCTTTCTAAATAATCTTTGTTTTTTTTTCGGTTTACATTAGGAAACAGTCGTGCGTTGGTCTGCTGCTAAAGGCATAGGACGAATTGCACAACGATTACCACAGGAACTTGCTGATGATGTTATTGGTTCTTTATTTGTATTATTTTCCGAAAATACGTATATAAATAATGGCGTATTAGAGTTATCTGCAGTAGCTGATCATGCTTGGCATGGTGTATGTTTAGCTATAGCTGAATTAGCAAGAAGAGGATTGTTATTACCACAAAGACTATCTGAAGTAATTCCTTGGGTTACCCAAGTAAGTTGTTCTATTTTAATTTCTTATTTGAGTAACATTAAATAACATGAAATAATTCTTATTTTATTCTTATAAATTTTTAGGCATTAAAATTTGATCAGAAACGTGGTTCACATTCGATTGGTGCTCATGTACGAGATGCCGCATGTTATGTTTGTTGGTCTTTTGCTCGTGCCTATGCGCCTGAAATTATTGCTCCATATGTACCAGAGTTGGCAAATAATCTTGTAGTGGTATCTGTATTTGATCGTGAAGTAAACGTTAGACGTGCTAGTAGTGCAGCTTTTCAAGAGAATGTTGGTCGACAGGTTAGTTTTTGAGTAGAGTTTGGAATTAGCTTATTTTCACGTTAAATTCGAATTTACATATGGGTGCTACAAGGTGAAAATTTGTAATGCAAAATTAAATTGACGTCGTGTCAACTTTGCCAACTTTGAAAAATACTATACGTTTTGGGTCTTTGAGGGGACATAGATTTAGTAAGTATGTACGTACATATGTTACGTTCTAAAGTGATAAATCCTGTTGAAATAATTAGAACATTGGCTCAATTATGAATTTAAGTCCGGCACCTATAGGTTTCATTCTGTAGTACTCATATGGAAACGAACCTGATTATATTTCTGTAGAATCAGTGCTTTATAAGAATTATAGTACTTATTGTTTTTCATTTGTTATTTAGGGTATTTTCCCTCATGGCATAGAAATTGTTACCACAGCTGATTATTTTACTGTTGGTAACAGGGTTAATGCTTTTCTTTGTATAAGTGTGAAAATAGCAGAGTTAGCATATTTTATGTATTATGAATTTTATATTGTTAAAAATTCTAGGTTCATAATTTAAATTTAAATATTTTTATGAATTTAGATTTATCGAATATAGGTATCATCTGATTGATCATCTAAGTAAACAATCAATATTTAATTGGGACAAAAGTGTGAGAGTATTAGCATCTAAGGCTTTACACAACCTTACACATCTTGACCTCGATTACTTCATCAATAATGTTTTACCATTCCTGGTGAGTTTGTGAACTTTCATATTAATTATGCTTCATCGACTCAACTATATCTAATTTTTAGGTCCCTCAAGCTTTATCTCCTGATGCATCTACAAGGCATGGTGCTTTATTAGCAATTGGCGAAATATGTTTAGCATGGTCAAATTTACAAAAAGATGATAAAAGCTGGATGGAGCGTCATAAAGATTTAATTATGGTATTCTTTAAAATGATTTGCTTTGCTTTTAAAAATTATAATATTTAAACTTAATGATTAATATTTACTCAAGAACATAACCAATATAGTCGGATCTCTCCCTGAGAAAGTATTCAGTGATTTTGGTTCAGAAGTTACAGTTCAAGCGGTAGTAAGTCATATTGCTAGCTTAGCTAAGGCTGGATGGCCTGTAACTGATGAAGTTTTGAAAAAATGGAAAAGTGTGGTCTATGATCTTCTCAGCAAAAAAGATGAAATTGGTCAAGAAATTGCTAAACTTGCTGTTGAAGCTCTTGTGACTCAATATGGAATTGATGAATCAGAAATCGATATATATCCTTTCAATAAAGAGAATATTTAATATTATAGTATTTGTTGTTTATTAAAGCTTAGTAGGCATTAATATAAAATTCATACATATATATCCTTGACTACTTTTGCACGTATATCGATTACTGTCATCCTTCAAAAAATGTTCATGCAAGAAAAGGTTTTACTCTTGCTTTGGGTGTTATACCGTATAATAAGATTCCAGAATGTTTGGATCGTGCTATTGGTTCTTTAATTTTATCTGCAAAGATACAGGTTTGCTTAGAACTAATTCATTTTATTATTAACATTTTAGCTTTGTAATAATATTCAAATTTTGTTTTTTATAGGAAACTAAAATATGGAATGATCCAGAAACTCGAAGAAATGCTATTATTTCATTAGCAATGATATGTAAAAAATTGGGCGATTCACTTAAAAAAGGTATTCCTTGTTCTTTGCTATATCTTATTCTTTACATTCCTTATTCTCTGCTAATTTTTGACTTCCAATTATTCTAACCAAATCTAAAATTATATCAGTGATTTCTAAACCCATTTTTGATAAAATTATCAACGCTTATTTCACGGGCCTCGAAGATTACAGCACAGATCAGAGAGGAGATGTTGGATCCTGGGTTCGTGAAGCTTGTATGAATGGATTTTCTGTAATTTGTCCACTTATTGCACGATTGGACTTAAATGACCCCGGTTGTGAACCATGGTTGCCTGACGAATTGAGCGTAAAGATCTTTTCTAATTTATTAAAACAAAGTGTTGAAAGAATTGATAATATTAGATCTTGTGCCGGTCGAGTATTGTTGGAATTTCTATACATGAAGGTCTCTTCGGGAAGTGAAGAAACCTATTTATTTAATTTGCCGGCTCGAGATATTTTACAAACCATCTTGCCAAAGTACGTAACCTAGATGCACAAGTTTTTTTAATGCCATCAATAATTCTGCGAAAATATTAACTGATTATATTTTTCAGAGATGAAGAGATTTATTGGGCTTCTCCACCAGAGCTGTATCCCAGAATGGTCAAATTACTCGCATTAAAAGAATATAGGTTTAATTTACTTGTTGGTTTAGTAATTGCAGCTGGTGGTATTAATGAATCTTTGGTCAGTTTGATGCATTTGATATTTGTTAGTCATATGCATTCATAATTAACAATGCTTAGTTTATAGGTTCGTTATTCAAGTAGTACATTACTTGATTTTGCAAACGAGCTCCCTGTTACATCGACATCATTGCCACCTGAAGGGTCTTCATTATCATTATCAAATTTTGCAAATGAATTATTAAACATATTTCGTCACAATGAAAAACAGGATCGTATAAGCATTCCTTTATTGGAAGTTTTGGATTTATTACTTGAATCTGGAACTTTACAAAAAATTGATCCAAACTCTTTCAGGTTTTATAATTAATTTTATTTTATTCTTTTTAGCTTTTATATGAGATTAATAATATATATTTTTATTATTTTTAGCTTTTATATGAGATTAATAATATATATTTTTATTATTTTATTGTAGCTTTATGGACTTATTTGAATGTGTAAAAAAAGAAATTTCAGGGACACGAGATATAAGAAAATTAACTGCCTGTATACGAGTGTAAGTGTTGATAAATTTGAATTTTTGTTTTCTTATATTATTCAAATTAATATTTATATCTATCAATTATTTAGCCTTTGTGGAATGACATCGTTAGGTGGTACGGTGCGAAATCGCTCTTTGTATCAATTACTTAGTTTATTAGTCCATTCTTTTCCAAAGGTAAGACTTTTTTTTTATTAGAATCCAGTATGACATTTTATAATAAGTATTATTAACTCCAGTTTTGCTATTTTCTTTAGATTCGAAGATTGACAGCAGATCAGTTGTATTTAACACTTGCTGGGTCAGTAGAAGACGAATCAGAAGAAATATTAAAGATTGAAGATATTTTAGTTAATACTGATTGGTATATATATTTTTTTTCGAATCCCTCATATTATATTATAACAAAATTCTAATTCTATAATAATCGACGAATTTATAGGGATAGCCCTGTACCTCAATTAAAGGAACTTAGAAATCAACTTTATCCCTTATTGGGACTGAAACTGCCTAATTTTAAAATACCTGGCACTACTACTTCATCAACATCCTAAAAGATATTCTTGATGTTGATTAATTAATATTATATTATAGACATAGAAGATGTTTTGAATACAAATTTTATTCACAATCCTTCGATTCCGCAGATTTATATAAAAAGCAACGAATTTATTGTTTGATAATGCATAAATGCCATTATTTTTGGTTTGCAATTTTTATATCGCCGAAAGTTGTTGATCCAACATTACCGATTCGATCAAATAAACTTAATAACTTTAAATTATTACTAGTATAAGGTTTGAAAATATGACCAGCCCGGATATTAAATTAAGTTAGCATGTTACTCCGATCTTTTCATTGATCACCAAATTTAGAGATACCATCGATTGGTAGCATGAAAGTAGATTGCGAATGGTTGTAGTTAAAAGTGAATAAACCTAACCAAATTACATGAAAAAAAATTCTGTGCCAGGTTCTGTCACATAATACTGCAGCAAATCGAATTTTCGCCTTAGAAAAATAACGATAAGTTCAGAGATTTAAATAAGTGAATTTTCGAATCATACAAATCTTTAAGATTTAGAACCTGTCCTACCACAATTGTCAGATCTTAAATTGAAATTGAACTTTATTAAGTTAGCTACCTAAATTTTTTGATATTTTTTAGACAATTTCGAATTCTGCAGATCGGATTTATTTTATTACAATAAATTTTTTTTTTCAACATATTGACGCATTGTCATAATTTATTCATAATTATAATGCCAAACGGCTTTTGTAACCAACCAACCCATATAGACTATTTGGGCAAAATATCATGAATTATATATATAAAACGTTTAAAATGTAAAAGTATACAAATATAGCATAGACTTATTTAATAATAATAATGATAATAATTTCAAGTTAAATATCTTTAAATGTGTACTATTTTTGAGTAAGCATTCGAAAAAATATTGTATTAAATTTCGGTTATGATGAAAATAAATCTGTACCTTTAAAGCAATTAACTCAAATCTAAATACCAATATAAAATAAGTAATAAATTTATCTAATGATAAATACTGTAAGCTTAATATAATACTAAGGGAATTTCAACAGAATCGACAGGTTTACTTTGTAAAGTTGCTATTAAAGCATAATTAGTTTAAATGAACGAATATATAGCATGATTTTTGAAATAAATACCTTTAATTGCACTTGTTATTCTTTGAGTATTTATTATTTTGCTAGTATACATAAAATCTGGATTTTTTGGTGTGATAATTGGCAATGTTTTTATTATTTTATTTGCATCTAGGAATTGCTTTTTAATTTTTTTAATTTCATCTGAATCATCTGTCTTATTCATGATTTTACTCCATTTGCGAAGTTTATCACGAACAACATAAGTATAAGGTCGTTTTTGTGGATCAGAATGCATGCATTGTTTAGCTAATTCAATATAGCAATTCGGAAAATCTTTACTGCAAGTTCATCATCAAATTGATAACCATCGAAAGGTCTTTGTCCAGTTGACATTTCTGACATAATG